GGCTGCCTCTGAGTAACCATAGGCATCATGGAGATGTAATTAAGATAAATTTAATTTGTGTTTAGTGAAATGTCTATTTCTGTGCTTTGCAGTCATTTCCATCTATAGTTAAACTATTGCTCATCCCAGTGTCAAAATAGCTTCCAGAATATTCCTACCACCATTGTGCCTATTCCTTCATATCCTGAAATGTAGGTTTAGGGTCCAACATAAAATTCATAACCCTTACTACAAGTAATAATTGAATACTAATTGACGAATGAGCATCATCATTACAAACAGTATTTAATCTTAGTCACTGCCCAAGACATCTTGAAATACCTTTAATCTTGGAGTTCATGTATGAAAGAGACTTGATAATATTGTCCAAATTTTAAAATAATTTTCCAGGGGCACCTGGGTGGCTCAGATGGTTAAGCATCTGCCTTTGGCTCAGGCCATGATCCCAGGGTCCTGGGACTGAGCCCCACATCGGGCTTCTGACTCAGTGGGGAGCCTTCTTCTACCTCTCCCTCTGCTTCTCCCCCTGCTCATGCGCATGCTCTCTCTCTCTCTGTATCTCTGTGTCTCAAATGAATAAATAAAATCTTTAAAAAAATAATTTTCCAAATTAAAAAAATATATGTAAGTAGTGAAGCTGTAATGTTGAACAGCTCTCCTAAAGGTAAGACTAAATTATCTTTCTCTTGTCTCTAAGGAAAAAAAAATATTAGAAATTGTTGGCAAATAAAGAAATAATCAAAAAGTGTGCAACCCAAAAGTAAAGGAAAATATTGTATTATAAAACTTGGACAATTAATTAATAAAAATATATTTGCTTCGGGGCGCCTGGGTGGCTCAGTTGGTTAAGCGACTGCCTTCGGCTCAGGTCATGATCCTGGAGTCCCGGGATCGAGTCCCACATCAGGCTCCCTGCTCGGCGGGGAGTCTGCTTCTCCCTCTGACCCTCTCCCCTCTCATGTGCTCTCTCTCTCATTAAAAAAAAAAAAAAAAAAAAAAAATATATATATATTTGCTTCCCCCCTGCATTTTGTGCTCTTTTGGGGGGTAGAATATATGGAGGTACAATCCCCAGATCCCTCTTTCAGAAGAGAAGCCTTCATATTTCCCACTGCTGGCGGTAGTGGTTGCTGTTTGTTCGCAGATTCAGCATCTCCTAGGAATTGCTCTGCATGAAGGCAGCTGCCCTGCCCAAGATTATGCCCCCTTCAAGGGCCATCCAACGTCTCAAACCAGTAGGGTACAGAGACCTGTCTCCTTTACCCCTTGCCGACACGGGGACAATGCTGAAGGACCATTCTACTTCAAGAGCTTCTGGCGGCCTCTGATGCAGCTGAACCACAGCTCAGACTCTCTGTCTTCCTCTCATCACCCTCCCTCTCTCAAGAGTTGTTCCTTAGTACAATTCTGAAAAATTTTCTTACACAATCCATTTCAAGGTAGTATTTAAGAAAATGTGTATTTTTTTGGGCGCCTGGGTGGCTCAGTTGGTTAAGCGACTGCCTTCGGCTCAGGTCATAATCCTGGAGTCCCGGGATCGAGTCCTGCATCGGGCTCCCTGTTCGGCAGGGAGTCTGCTTCTCCCTCTCCCACTCCCCGTTTGTGTTCCCTCTCTCGCTGTGTCTTTCTCTGTCGAATAAATAAATAAAATCTTTAAAAAAAAAAAAAAAGAAAATGTTTATTTTTTTTGTTTTAGTTTGTAATTTAAAAAATTTTGTTTCTCATTCTAAGTAGATATTAAATGTTTTATCTAATTTTGTATCCATAATTTTGTATTCTTGTACTTAAAAGAACTCTCAAAAAAGCTTGAATCTGGTCCTTTTCTCTTTGCAGGAGAAACTTCCAGCCAGTTGGTCCCTCCACCTGGTGGCAGGAGAAACTATTCTAATAATAGCAGAGACTGATCAGGGCCCTCTCTGCATGAGAGAAGTCTGTGGCCTTATGAGCTTCACCACCAACTCCCGTGGTGGTCTTTCTTCTGAATGCATTGCCGCTGGGTCTTTTTCATATTACTTGGTTTCACACTCCATAAATTTAACATTGTTCAAAAACAACATTTTCTAATTTCCATAGTCACATATATCCAATCATCCCCCAAATATCTTTATAGCTTTTTTTGACCTTCCACTCAGGTAAACAAGTTTGTGCATTTTTCCTGATTGTCAGGTCTCCTTATTTTCCTTTAATCTGCAAGAATCCTTTCACTTTTATTTTCTTTCAGGACATTGATATTTTTGAAAAGTTTAAGCCACTTGCACTGTAGGATATCCTACATTTTAGAATTGTCTGATTGTTTAGAACAACTGTATTGTAAGATATTTAACAATCCGTATTTGTCTGATTATTTTCTCATGTTTAAATTGAATTATTCTCTTGGTAAGAATATTACATAGATGATGCTAGGAATTTTTCCATTGCATCACATCTTTGTAAATACAAAGTCAGTGTGCTGATTTATCTTATTATTTGTGAGACAATGTGAAATTGGATCACTATTATTTACCTGAATGTTATCTGAGTTTCCCCCTTTGTAATTGATAAATGATCTGTATGGTGATACCTTAAACCATGTGAATATCCTTGCACTGATTTTAGTGCTCAAAAGTCCTCAGCAAATGCTTAACTGCTCATTTAAAAAGCTAGACAGGAAAGAAGTGTAAGAAATCCAAATTACAAAGTGGGACCATATGTGATGCCCTGTAATTAAATGGACAGAGCTCAAGTGCCTCCTGTCTTGGCAGCACCGGGATTTACTGACTGAGCAAGCTGGCTCCTGGGCCAGGATCTGCTACAGCTGATGAGCCGCACCATGTGACCCATCGAACACTGGCCATTATGTCCAATGTTTTAACCCAAATGGTCATTAGTTCCAGGTCTGTGCTTTGCTATTGGGCTGAATCTGCTCCTTTCCACTTAATTGTGTGCATCCACGTTTTCCAGGAAATACTTCTGCACTTACTGAATTCCTGGGGACAGGGTCACAGCATGTTTCCAAAGTGCACCAGCTGCCCAGGGGCTCTCATGACAGCTGGGGTCACATTTGCCAGAATGATGCATCACATCCTACTTGCCTGGCTTGAGAGTCCCCTTAGTGAAGAACAGATTGATTGACTGAATGATTGATTTATTTATATTAATTAGAAGAAGTTTGACCTTTTCAACCTGGAGTCTCGGGGGACTTTTCTTACCACTCTCTCTGCCAGGTGCAGGAGCTATCTTAGATGTCACTGCTTCACCCTGGGGGGACTCGAGTTTGTGCTGAGAACCTATGATTCTCACTGTCCTTTCATTCTGCAGCATATACTGCTGCTGCTAGCGCTGTTTTCAGTCCTTGGTGTGTAACAGTTCTGAAATTATAATAAATATATGTGTCTACATTGTCCAAAGGTCGATTCTTATCTCTGCTTCATCAGTGGTTTAGGATCCAAAAGATCAGTATGCCAGAATAATTACTCCTGTATTTAAAGCCAGGAGCTCGTTTCCTACTGCTCTGTGTCATGTTGTGACAGCAAAACATTACAGATATTCAGGATTTCTTTTTTATTTTAAGTTTTTTTTTTTTTTTTTTTTTATTTGAGACACAGAGTTAGAGAGAGAGCATGAGCAGGGGGAGAGGCAGAGGGAGAGGGAGAAGCAGGCTCCCCGCTGAGCCAGGAGCCCGATGTGGGGCTTGATCCCAGGACCCTGGGATCATGACCTGAGCCGAAGGCAGACGCTTAACCATCTGAGCCACCCAGGCGCCCCTAGATATTCAGGATTTCACTCTTGACATAAAACATACAACCACTAGTTGATCTGATTTGCTGATTAGGTTATACTCTAGAGCCACACCTTTAACATGAGAAACTAGGGCTTTTTCTTCTTCAAAAATTTTAGGGGTTCCATTGATGGCAATTTGAGAACACCTTTGCTATCAATGCAGGGGATTAGTGTACTACAAAATACTTCCTTTCACCTTGCAGCCCTATTAACATCTTGCATAGGAACGATGAAGAAGAGTCCAATGCTACTTATTCAACAAATGAAAATGTACTCCATAATTTTTTTGTGGTAGATGTAGCAAAATCTCTTTTTTTCTGACTACTCCTTCCTTATCCCTTAATCTCCATATCTTGATTTATTCATATCTTTCAGAAAAAGGAAGACAACAGTCAATATATTTAGAACACCTTCCAGGATTTCTAAAAGTGAAGTGATAAACACATTCCCACTCACATCCTCTGACTCACTTTCATTCACATGCACAGTTGTGTTTCCCAGTAAGTCCACATAACAGATATTAAACTCTAAAGACAAGCTGAACAGTCAGACCAAATTGGCCACCCAGCCTGAAGGCACACAGTGAGGGATAATGGCACAATCAATCTACATTGTCCTTTTGTCATAACACAATAGTGAAGTTGAAAAGTGACCACACAACGGCTCAACATTGCATGTAAGGGGCGTCTGGGTGGCTCAGTCGTTAAGCGTCTGCCTTCGGCTCAGGTCATGATCCCAGGGTCCTGGGATCGAGCCCCACATCTGCTCCACGGGAAGCCTGCTTCTCCCTCTCCCACTCCCCCTGCTTGTGTTCCCTCTCTCGCTCTCTCTCTCTCAAATAAATAAATAAATAAATAAAATCTTAAAAAAAAAAAAAAACATTGCATGTAAAGGACTAATTTGCTGTCTTTCTTAGATATTCTTTCCTGGGTTATGAAGAAATAAGATAAACCTAAAATTTCTCATGAGGAATCAAGGGAAAACCACAATCAATTGTACCAGTTTGCTGTTCTTTTTGGGCTTAATACCCTAGAGGAGTTTTAAAAATATATGAATGTCTTCTTTTTTATCTATGTATATTATCCTCAAATATTATATTAGGATTCTCTAGAGAAACAGAATCAACAGGATCTACATACACATATACATACAATACACATATATAATATGCATAATGTATTCTAAAATATGGAACACATTAGAATATATAGAAAGAGATTTAGTATAAGGAATTGACTCACATGATTAGGACTGTCAAGTCTCCACATCTGCAGGATGAGTCAAGTAAGCTGGAGACTCAGGAGAGCCAGAGATAGAGGTCCAGTCTTGAGTACAAAGGCCCAGGAAACAGGAGAGTCCATGGTGGAATTCCAGACTGAAGAGCAGTCTCAAGACCTTGAAAGAGGCATCATTTCAGTTTGAGTTTGAAGGCAGGAAAAAAAATTGATGTCCCACTTTGAAGGCAGTCAGGCAGGAATTCTCTCTTAGTTGGGAAGGGGTCACCTTTTTATTCTATTCAAATAATAAATTGGGTGTGGCCCACCCACATCATAGGGAGGGCAAACTGCTTTACTCAATCAATTTAAATGTTAACCTCACCCAACAACACCAGCATAATGTCTGTCCAAATATCTGTGGCCCAGTCACAGTGACATGTAAAACCATTCAGATATTTATTTTCTAAATGTTTATACTCTCCTTATTTTCACCTAGCACACTACATTTCACTCCCATCACTGAACTTAATATGAGAGGTGACTTGACTTTGGGTGGTGGCCACTCAATCCAACCATCTCATGTAAAAACAGTACTGATAACAGAAGCTCTGATTCCCACATTTATGTCAGACTCATCTTATTTACTTTTCCACACAGGATTCTGTTTTTTAGAGATATGGAAAATCATTTTTCAGAGTTATTTAACCGATACCTTTTAATCATACTTTCATATTCCCAAGCAAGGATTTGTCACAATTTCAATGCTGGACACCGTGAGGCGATATTTTTCATTTCTGAGAAAGGCTTTAGAAATAGCAGATCCCTTCGTTTATGTTATAGACAAGAGTCTGAAGTGTGAAGAAGCGAAATGCCTTGTTCATGGGCAAGGCAGCAGGAGAACAGGGGTCAGAATCGGCTCTGGATTCTCAGGCCTGTTGCACCTTTCCGTCTGTTAGACTTTCTCCTATGCTGTAGCAGTAGGTAAGGACCTATCAGACAGAAACGCAACACAATTCCACACTTCTCACAGTAAGCCCAAACCACCTTTCCTGCCGTATTTAATGCTTACCATTATTTTTTTTTTTTTAAAGATTTTATTTATTTATTCATGAGAGACAGAGAGAGAGAGAGAG